ACGGGGTTTCACCATGTTGACCAGGATGGTCTCGATCTCTTGACCTCGTGATCCACCCGCCTCGGCCTCCCAAAGTGCTGGGATTACAGGCTTGAGCCACCGCGCCCGGCCCATCCTCAGAGTCCTTTTAACACAAATGTCAGATTTGTGTTACTCTTCTGCCTTCATGAAAAGCCAATGTCAGGGGACTTTAGTTCCAAGCAGGGCCCCTGGTTCCCATACTACCTTCAGCTGGAGTTTGGATCCAAAGGCTCTGGCTAAGTCATTATGTCACTTTTTCACAGGAATGTAAACTTGACCGTCACCTCTGAATTTGCTCAGTGTCTCACCATGATCTATGACAAGTACACTGGAAGCGTGGGGTGAACACATGACATGATTTGTGAATAGCATCATCTTTGCCAGACAAGTCTCCAGGGATCCCGGTTTCCCAAATGAAAGGTGTGAACGGACACACACAGGGCCTGGATGGTGCCTTGGCTGTTCTGAGGGGCTGTAAGGTGGGCTCTGGGCCTTCCAGCCAGGCCCTCAAGCACAGCAGAAGCTCTCACTGGCTGCTATGTCTTTGTGGCTTGGGTGGTGGTCTCAGAAGCAGAGCTGTTTGACAGACTGGCTGGAGAAATTCCCTCTGTGAGATCTGCCTGTGCTGTGCTTCCAGATCCCAGAGCCCCCCAGAAGCTCACAGAGGCCCTCTTCCCAGGAAGGAATCTATTCTATCACTTCAGAATCAGGACACTCAAGCTCTGGCAGAGGCAGGCCAAGTTAAAAACCATTGGCCAAATCTGAACCATTGCCCTTGTTCCCCCTTCGTTCCTTCTCAGATCTTTTGTCTCGAAGGGAAACCACAATGGATGAAAAGATGTGGCAGGCTTTGGCACCTTGTTAAAAATCTAGTCATCTGTGGACATTACTTTGCTTGTCCACAGCAGCCAGTCACCCTGGCAGTCACACTTTCTGGATAATTCTCCCCACTCATCCCACTGAGCCATCTCTCTCCAGATCAAAAGCTGGAAGGAGAGAGTTGCTTTGAGAGCTTGTTTTTACAACTGCATACTTATGATGATACTTTGTCTCCAAAGGAAACTTTATAAATCAATGGGAACAATTAGCAACAGAAAAAGCACAGTCCCTGCTTTTGCCTGGGTTCCTATTTTTTATTTATTTATGTATTTTTTGAAATGGAGTGTTGCTCTGTCACCAGGCTGGAATGCAGTGGCACAATCTTGGCTCACTGTAACTTCTGCTTCCCGGGTTCAAGCAATTCTCCTGCCTCAGCCTCCCGAGTAGCTGGGACTACAGACGAGTACCACCATGTCCAGCTAATTTTTTGTATTTTTAGTAGAGAAGGGGTTTCACCATGTTAACCATGATGGTATCAATCTCCTGACCTTGTGATCTGCCCACCTTGGCCTCCCAAAGTGCTGGGATTACAGGCATGAGCTACCGTGCCTGGCCAACTAGGTTCCTATTTTAGGCACAAATGAGAGCTCTAGAGCCAGAGTTCAAACCTCAGCATTGCCACTTGCTAGCTGTGTGATCTTGGCCAAGTCACTTCACGTCCCAGAGCCCCAATTCCAAAGTTTGTGAAATGGGGACAATACCTATGTATCACTGGATTATTGGTTAAAATGGAATGAGATTCCTTGTGTGAAAACAGCTGTAACACCTGACACCCTCATTGTATGGGCTCCACAAAGGGATGATCCCAATCTGTCCTTCCTGATGGGAAGCACAGGGTACTGCAGATGGGGAAGGATGCCACCTTGGCAGTGACTCTGTGGCTTCCCAAGCAGGAGTGTCAGGGGAACCATTAGACAAGAGTCTAGGAGCCAAACACATCGCCACCCTGAGCAGATACAGGAGTGGGAAGGGGGCTGTGGCTCAGTGACAATGAGTGGCTTCCAGGGGCCCCAGGCCCTGCAGGATGTGGGACAAGCCCTATATCTTCCCTGGGCAGTAAGTAAAAACATTCTCCTAGCATTAAAATGGTTTCCATAACTACTTTTGTCCTGGCTTCTTAACACTGGGTACCTGGCATGCAGCCAAGAACTCTGCTTTTCCAGTGAATTAGCTGGGGAGGGATCTTCCTTGTTTAATCGTAGATACAGGTACTCAAGAAGCTCTGCCCATTGACTTCACCTCACCAGGTGAGAGCAGAATGCCTGGAAGGCTGCCCCCATCTTTTAAAGCCTGTCTACTTAGCTCCTCTGCCAAAAAAAGGAAAATAATTTGCTGTTAGGTGGCTAGGGCGGGACATTGACAGTTATCAGGGGATCTATATTTGGCTTGTGACAAGTGGCTTTACTCCCATGGTTTAGGTGCTATTAGGGGACCTTGAGCCTGCTTATTAACTCACTGACCTCCACTGCATCATTTTGGAGTCTCCCTGCCAACCTCTGACAGCTGTTAGTCAGGGGCTGACCTCACAGACAGGGGCACTTTCCCCTCCTATCCAGGTCACTGGTGACACTGGGGGATGGGAGGCCATTCCTTAGCAACACTATTAAGACTGAAGTAGTTTTCTGAACTTGTCCTGGGCCCAGAAGGAAGACACTAATCCTACCTCTGCCACTTGGCTGCTGTGTGGCCCTGGGCAAGTCTCAATCACTGGGTGTCTATATGCTTAGTACAAAAAAAGACTATTAAGACTTGGAGCTGGGCACAGTGGCTCACACCTATAATCCCAGCACTTTGAGAGGCAGAGGCAGGAGGATCACTTGAGGGCAGGAGTTTGAGACCAGCCTAGGCAACTTAAGTGAGACCTCATCTCTACAAAATAGTAATAATAAAAAAAATCAGCCACGTATGGTGGTGTGTGCCTGTAGTCCCAGCTACTTGGGAGGCTGGGGCAGGCGGATTGCTTGGGCCCAGGAGTGTGAGGTTGCAGTGAGCTGTAATTGTGCCACTGTACTCCAACCTGGGCAACAAGAGCAAGACCTTGTCTCAAAATATATATATATTTCTCAGGACCTTCAAGACTAAATGCTACTTCAAGTAGATGAAAGTGCCAACCATGATGCTGAGAGAGGCTGGCTACTTAAATCTTGGGGTATCTTGGTCTACTTAATGTATCCTCTTCAATTCCCTAGCATCCCTTGAACTGAACAGCTGTACTGTATTGTGCCCCAATAAATACCTGTTTGGAAGGCAGACAGCTGTGCAGAAATCTGTGCTACTCCCATGGTTGTGGGAGTTGTGAATACTCACCTACACTGATCCAGAGAAAGCTAGGGCAGCACCAGGAGGTCCCTAGTTCCCTCAATACACATTTACACCAGGCTGACCCAAGCCTTGAGGTCCTCTTCTCCTAAGGAGCTCAGCTAAGGGAACATAGCATGGCAAATGCTATGAAAAGGGTAAGCACAGGACACTAAGGGAGCCCCAGAAGAAGCACTGCTAACCCTTAGAGGCTCAGGACTGGAAGATCCATAGGACGGAGAAGGCCAAAAGGCAATGCAGACCGAGGGA